AGCCCTTTCCTCTGCTCTGGGAGCAGCGGGAGGGATGGTGACTGGGAAGCACCTTCCTCTCGACCAGGAGCAGTGGGACGAAGGCTCAGAAGGCCCTACCTCTGGGCCGGGAACAGAGGGACTCAGTACCTTGGTCTGGTGGTGTGGTGTCCGCTGCGTTTTTGTAGTGTGGAACCAGGTGGCTGCCTGTCTGCAGCCGGGTGATTTGGTATCTTCCGTGGGACTCAGGAACTAGGCAGGGCGTGCACAGACCTTCCTTTGTGTAGCAGGCTGAATCGTCATGTTCTGTGGGACTCAGGACCTCGGTAGGGCATGGGCAGACCTGCCTGTCTGCAGCGGGGTGATTCGGAGTGTTCTGTGCGGCTCAGGACCTAGATAGGGCATGGGCAGACCTGCCTGTCTGCAGCGGGGTGATTCGGCGTCTTCCGCGCCTCTCCTTAGTTTTATAAGGAAATTAAACAGTCTTTCAGAATGACTGTACCATTTTTCATTCCTACCAGTAATGAATAAAAGTTCCTGTTGTTTCACATCCTTGCCAGCATTTGGTTTTTTCAGTGTTCTGGATTGTGGCCATTCAAATAGATGTATGATGGTAACCCATTGTTTTAGATTCCTTTTTTTTTGATGGCTTAGGGTGTATAGCACCTTTCTTATGCTTATTTGCCATCTGTGTATCTTCTTTGATGAGATGTCTGGTAAGCTTTCTGCTCCACTTTTTAATAAGTTTGTTTGCTTTCTTATTGTTGAGTTTTAAGAGATCTTTGCATTTTTGCATGTCTCCTGAAAGTATTTTCTCCCTGTTTATGGCTTGTTTTATCCTAATAATGTCTTTCCCAGAGAAGAAAGTTTTGATTTTAATGAAGTCCAGTTATCAGTTCTTCCTTTTATGGATCATGCCTTTGATGTTTTATCTAAAAAATCATTGGCATACCCAAAGTTATGTAGATTTTTTTCTATGTTATCTTTTGGAGTTTTGCATTTTACATTTAGGTCTGTGAATCATTTTGAATTAATTTTTGTGAAGGGAGTAAGGTCTGTGTCTTCATTCATTATTTTGTTTCATATATGAATTTCTAGTTGTTCCAGCACTGTTGGTTGAAAAGACTTGTCTTTGATACATTGCATTGCCTCCTATTATGTTAGACATCAGATAACTAGGTTTATCTGCATCTATTTTTGGCCTCTGTACTCTTCTACATTGATATATTTGTCTATTCTTTTGCCAGTACCACCCTATCTTGATTACCTGTAGCTTTTCCAACTTTGTTTTTCTCTTTTAATTGCATGTTGGATATTTTATGTTTTTTGCTTCTCCATATACAATTTAGAATCAGTCTATTAATGTTCACAAAATACCTTTATTGGACTTTGATTGCAATTGTATTGAATCTACAGATGTGTTTGGAAAAGAATCCGTTTTTCCTTATCACTTTAGGACCTTATTACAGGATCAAATTGCCCTGTAACATACCAATGTAGGAATCAATATAATAACTGTATAACTTCTATAGTTCTGACAGTCAATGAGGGTTAAATCAGTTCTCATTACTGAGTTTTACATCCACAGATTCAACCAATTGCTGATAAAAATATTTGGAAAAAATCACATCTGTACTAAACATGTAAGACATGTAAAACAACTGCTTACATACCATTTACATTGTATTAGATGGTATAAGTCATGTAGAGATGATTGAAAATATACAGGAGGTTGTATATAGGTCATAGCAAATACTGGACTATTTTACATTTGAACCTGAGTATCTGCAGGTTTTATTTGTGGGGGTTATGAAACTATTGCAGATAGGTAAGTTAATTAGATATCTTGTATGCAGTTAGACAGAACTACACCTCCAGGAGCCAACACAGCAAGGAACCAACATGGAGAACAATTGAAGCACATTCACTGGTTAGCATTATAAAAAGAAGAGGCACTACTTATCCTAGAGATAGATTGCAGTGATTGATATTCTAAATGGGAAATTCCTTGTATGTGACTTGTTTTCCCATTTGATCCCCATTTAATCAATATTACTTGGTGACTGTACTTGTAATCTTATTGGTTGGTTGTGGTTTTGTCCCACCTTATGCCCACCTTGTAAATTTCCATTGGGTCTTATAGTTCTGTCCCACTTTGTACCCTTCTCACCACATGGCTTTGGTGTATAAAACATCTTTGAACCATGGGGTGGGTGGGCAACCCACTTTCCTGTCCCCCTTCTGTCTCTCTTAGGCAGAAGCTTTCTTTCTCCCAATAAATTTTTCCTACTCTTAACCCCTGTTGTTTCTAGAACTCATTCTTCGATTTTAGAGAACATGAACTCGTGTTTTGGATATCTAGTAGGTATGGGAGTTACATCTCTTCCCCCTATATCAAAACCAATTCCCCATGAATAACTTGAGAAAACTGTTGCTTCACCTGATGGTGTGGTTAACTGAACTTTTCCATCTCCATTTCCTGCAAGGAAGAGTGTATCTAGAGTTCCACAAAACATGAACAATGTACTGTGTACTGTGTCTGGCACAGTATTTAGTAGAGCGTGCACATATGAGAGAAGTATTGAGATGTCCTACATTTTTCACTGAGCCAAAATATTTTTTCCTGTTTTAAATTCAGGTTCTTAAGTTGTTACATTACATTGCTTTTGATTTCTGTTTGTAAAAATTAAATATTGTCTTCTTGTTCTCCTTGGATTAAAAAAAAGCAAAACAAAGTAAAATACCTGGAAATTTATTTTAAAAAGGCAGCACCTAAAACTAATTTTAATCAATTTGTCAAACTGTTAGGGTTATGTGCTTTTTTAATTGGCATGTTTCTTCATACATTTGAATAAAGCTTCAGAGAAACAACAGAACAGTAGTAGAAAAACAGAACTGTCAGGCAGAAGATCAAGGGATAAGACGTGCCAGTACCTTGAGCACACCGAATATATTTTAGAAACGCTTTTCTACAGACATGTGACGAGAAGTAGCAGTCCGTTAACTTTGGTGTGGGTTTATGTCCTTTTAAGCAACCATTCTTGAAGAGGGTAAGTGGCTCTTGCTGCAATAGAATAGTATTGGGTTTACAGAGAAACCAGAGGATTTGGACTCTTGGCCTCCTACTAGAGTTTTCTCAGGGTAGCTTGAACAGTGTTATGGGTAGACATTGTCTTCTAATTTCTGTGTTGTAGGCTACACTTGGAAATAGTTTAAAAATATTGGTCTCTGTTGTGAACATGGTCCTGGATTTTCATGGCATTCTAAAAGATTTTTGGTAATCAGGTGAATATATAGTTGATCTATAAGCTGTATACTGAAGTAGTTAAGATACTTTTTAATTGATAATTAGTTCTAAACAAAGGAATTGCCACTTACATAGTAGGCTGTTCTTTTTTTTCATTAAGTTTATTGGTACATTTTAGGTATATGTTATGATCACATTCATCATTGGGAATTTGTACCTGTACATGATATATCTTGGTTAGGCAATTTTTTGCGTTTGTTTTTTTTGGTACTGGGGATTGAACTCGGGTCTTTGCGCTTGCGCAGCAGGTGGCGAAACCACTGAGCTAAATCCCCAGCCCAGGCAATTTTTGATAATACAAAAAATATAGTCTAATTTTTTAAGCACAGTAATACACTGGATTATGTAAAAAATAATTTTAGTTAGTATTATTGGTGTCCAAATGCAGAGTTGGAATAAATCAGATGCACTCTTTTATTTTTGTGTAAATTTTTTTCAGAATAATTTGCCTCTACTGTTCCTGAGTTCTATTTAAATGACACATAGCCAAACTGTATAGAAACATGTTAAGGAAGGTGGGTATTGAGGTAGATGCAGTACTAGAACAAGGTATGAGTTGTCAGAGTCTAGTTTTGTTTGTTTGTTTAAAGAGGGTTAAGGAGAGCAGCTTGAAATAGTTCTGTTTTCTATCATCATTCTATAATTGCAAATACTATATATCACTTAAGGCAGAAAGGCAGTTGGGAGTTAGCAAAGGACATGGGCAACCTGTGACAAGGTGATGAGCACTATTATAATAACAGCCTTATTTTGAGCTAGCATGTGAAAAAAATGGTTAGAGGTATCAAAGAAAAACATTTTTTTCCTTTAAGTAAGGTTTATTTAGAAGCATTGCTTATTTCCCCCTCCTAATAAAAGATCAAGGAGTATCTGCTGTAGTTTCACATCTATATTCTGTGAAATCTTCTGCTTATGATGGTAGCTCCTTATGAGATTTATTTTTGTCATAGTATACTATGTACTATATTTGTTGCACCTGTTCATACAGAATACATTGCATTGTGATGTTTGTATAGCTTGCTTCAAAGAAGCCAATCTGCCTTCTTCTAGAGAACTAGCCTGTTAGTAACTTGACTAAAGTTAATTTTGTTTTTGTCTGCAATTTTGTATATAGTTTTGATTTATTTACTAAGCAATGATTTTTTTCCTTGAAATCATCAGTTTTGCCTCAGATCAGTTTCCTATTGTATGGAGTCTGTTTCTTACAGAGCCTTCCCTAAGACTTCTCTGACTTTAAAATCATTACTAGGCTTTTGTCAGAGCAGATTTGTTGACATTCTTCTCACATTAAAAAAATAAATTTAAAAGATTGCACAAATAAGCTGTACATTTCACTATTTCCTGTTAATATGCAAAAAATGTATTTATGATAATTACACATACTGTGTGCCAGAACTGAAACAATACATTTCTCATAATGGAGCATAAATAAAGAAGGTGGAGCCAGCTGCTCTGAAACTGTTTATTTGCAAGCAGTAATGATATATAGAATATACCTTTTTCACTCTGTTAGTCTGGCAGTACTGAACCTGTTGCTGCATTACACGAGTTGCATTTTGCTGGATAGGGGAAGGAGAGCTGTCTGCTGTCTGGTAGGAGGGCTTTGTCTGTGCCTTTCTCTCTCTCTTTCTGTTTTTCTTTCTCTCTCTCCTCTCTTTCACTGGCTTGCTTGCTCTGTCTCTGTCTCTGTCTCTCTCTCTCTGCCCCCTCCCTCTCTTGCTCTCTCTCTCTCTTCCCGTCTCTGTGGTTTGTAAGGTAGGTTGCAGTGTGTGTATATACACAACATCAAGAGCAGGAAAATGGACTCATTAGGGAGGCAGGCAGTCATTACCACTCACACTGTACTTCCAGGGAGACACCGATTATGAGAAGAGAAACAGCGCTGGGGAAGAAGGTAGGGCAGACAACTTTCATAAAAAAAAAAATATCCTGCTGCCTCAGTCCCCCCTCTGTCTACCATCTCCTTTAGTCTCAAATGCTTTTATTCTTTCTTCCTTGAATTTTAATTTCCATATTTATATTTGACAGAGCTAATGCTAGCTTAAAATCTGGAACATCTATAGGAGGCCTAGCCTATAGTAATTTTCTTCATACTTGTTTAAGGGTGTGACCTTGTGATTCAGTTTTATTACTTTAAAAATAATTACAGAAAAACCTATTTTTCTCACAAAAGTAGCAAATAAATCAGAATCTTTCACTCTTTTAAAACAAACTCCTCCGTATGTTTGTCTCTTTGCTTTTCTAGTCTGTTTATACAATTCCATCTGTCTGTCTATATATCATGTTGTCCTTATTTATTGCTAACTAGGTTTTGTTAGTTATTTGCCAATGAGTTTTAGCTGCAGTGCCAGTGTGGGTATTACTAAAGTGAGACTTTTGTTCTTTGTTTTACATTGAAGTGTAAAGTCCATATTTACAGTTTATATCCTTGAAGCAGGTTGAATACTTATGCCAGCATGTTTATGTGATGGCATTGGGCATAAGGTGAGGGGTAGTTATTGAGGGTGGGTAATAATCAAGTATTTATTTTTGTCATCACATATAGAAATATTGCATCTGGGAGATATATTTTATAAAAAAAAGATACTGTTTTCTAACTTTTACAGATGGACTTCTACATTTATAGGGATATCACTGTGGTTAGAAGAATGCAAACTTTCTTGACAAGTAGTTTTTATCCTAAGACAGTTTCCTTTTAGTATGTTACTGTTTATTTATGCTTAGGGAGGGAGGAGTGGGGGACTGGCCATCTTTTTACAAAGTAGAAGCTATGAAGTGTATCAGGCCATTTCGTGCAACAACTGTGAGTATTCATTTAACATTTTGGGAACCATAAATAATGTATTTGTTATTTCAAATATAGTTTTAAGGTGCTTTTTGCTCTGTTTTACTTTTGTCTTTTTATGGTGGGAAAGTTGTTTCAAACTAGCTTATATTGTTGAGGAGTTTTCCCAGAATAGTATTCCTCAAAATTTAATGGAGTTGTTGAATACAGTTACTTTGAAATAGATTTTTAGTAGTATTTTATTTGGATTTCTCTGAAAGTAAAACTGCTAATTATTTGATAAAAATTCAGTAAGATAAAGTGACACATAAATATTTACAGCATATACAGTACATAGGCAGTGATAGAAAATGGATGGTATCTGTGGAGATCTTTGGTAATAACAATCACCTTTTTTGTAATAAATTATTTAATATAAGTGGCAGACTTTTTTCCTTCTCTTAATTCCATTAGGCCTCTCTGACAACACAAAGAAGCCCATAAAGCAATATTCTTAACCCACCTGGGACTCTAGAGCAGATTCTCAAACACATTCTCAAGGTCCAAACCTAGTAAAATGTTTATTTAAAATCCATTATTCCAAGAGGGTGGTGAACTTTTACTGCTAAAAGTCTCTTTTTACCTCTTCTTTTAAAAAATTCATACTTAGACTTTTAATTTATTTCCTAAACTATCTTTTGAGCTGGAAATGCCAGCTTTTACCAAAATTAGTACAAATACAAAGTATACTTTATCATGTCCTGTCAAAGATTCTACTCCCAAAGGTCTAGGGGGAATTTTGGGAGAAGTCTTTTGGAAGTGTGTATTAATATGGTACACAGAATGATATGATTTCTTCCATTTCAGAAATTTGTTTCAAAACTAATAGGTCAAAAGTGTGCATGTCTCATGCACCTGTCATTTACTTTATTTCCATTTGAGAACTACCCAAAATTTGATTCTTTTTTTCAAAAGACATCTTTCATATATCTCATGACCAGTCATTCTCTTTTTTTGTACACATGTATGGAAATATTGGCATGCATTTATGTGGGTTTATGCACAGAATCTGATGCGTGTATGGATATATCTATGTGTGGTGAAATTCTTTGCAGACATTTCTAAAAATTTCACATTAAGTATATTTAATCACAAACAAAAAATGGAGAGGCTGTCAATAGAAAATAAAAATTTCTTTTAACCTTCTATAAAGAATAAAAGCAAGTCTTTTGAAAGATGACTAAAAGAATTAGTCATTTTTGTGGTGGTTTTAATTTTTAGAATGTGTACATGTTTTCTTTTGCATTGTAATTGTTAGCCTTCAGTAGATCTAAAATATTTTTAGTATAAAAATACTCTTGCCCTTTTCTGAGAGGGACAGTCCCAATCTAAATACACCAGGACATTGTAAAATGTGCATAAGTAAACTTAAAATCAGTGTGCTCGGCTGTATAGGGATTTGGAAAGCTGAAAGGCTTGCATCACAGGAGGGCTATAGTGTGCCAGAAAAATTCATTAACCAGCCTTGCTGATTATGGTGGGCTCTTCCTGTTAGCACATGAAATGTGCCTGTTTAGATCGCTGAAGTCTTGGTCAGGTCACTGTGTGTTTCATTTTAATGTTGGAGCAGACAGTTATCTAACACACCCACATGAGGAAGTGCTCTAAAGCAGTTATTTCATGCTTTTCCATGCCCTGTAGCTAAAACAATTTGGTTCTGAGTGACGTATATGTGCTTTGTAACTCCTATCCGATGAAAATCAGCTTTGGCTCTTTGAAAAGGACCAAAACAGCGGAATACCAAGCAGTATAATTCATGTGCTAAGCACATGCCAGTTTATACTTTTTAATTTTTTTAACTTAAGGAGTAAATCACTATATTTTTAATATAAAGACTAGTGCTTTCCTGGATCTTACTCTTTGGGATTTCAAAAATTGCAAATACTTTTCCTTCTTTATATTTTTCTGAAAAAGACTATATTCATCAGAAGGATAGCAGCTGCATACTTTCCCCTTGAAATATTAACAAATAAATGGCATTCCTGTTTATTTATCTATTTTTGAATTTTAATGATTAGTCCTTGTGCTAATTAACAAATTCCTGTATTCATAAAATCTGGCACTACATAAATATCCACTTGTGTGATTATCTACACATGTTCTGGCTTTCTGTAAATATAGAAACCATCAGTGGTTGTGTTCATAGACTTGCCCAACCCTGAGTAGTGGCTGGTCATGCTGCCACATAGGAAGCCAAATTCAGGTCCTAAGCAAATGTGTTGCCCCAGGGTCTGGCAAGGTGTGTGGAAGCAGCATCTGGCTCATATTGCTAACTAGTGATCTTTTCTGGCAGAGGAAGGACTGGTGTTTTGTTGACAGTCTTTGAATGCTGCTAGTTCTAGCTTTCTCAGCCCAAAGTGTGGCCTCTTAAGTATAAATGTTGAAATGTTGAAAGTGGGCATTGAATGTGACTTATCTGGGAGGTGGCTTTAGAAATGTTTTAATAAAGTATGGTTTTTAATAGAAAATATGCCTAACTGAACTTTTATGAAAGAAGTAAAATAGTATGCCCATCCTAACTTCCTTAAGTAACAAGGATCTAAGATAGCATAGAAAGCACAGAGCAATGAAAAGAAAAATCTAGATATTTTCATTTGTATGGCCACATAACTATTAAAAGCAAATATGAAAATCAGATGTTAACTTACATAGGAACAGTTTATCCTACATCAAGGACAAACTAGCAATTGTGCAATTGTATACCTGCAGGAGTTATTAAAAGTAGAAATCAATCCTTTTAAATGATTTCTTATATTTTGTAAGCCATTTTAGTTATTTTAGACAATTACTGTTTGCAAAGGGTCAGCATTAGCCACTTAATACCTTACTTTAAAACTTCAAATTTAGTATTCATAGATATCTTATAAAACTTGAAATTTGTAATTTTCTTGAAAACATGTTTCATACATTTTCATTGGTTAAATATTTTCTAGAATTTTGCAGAATTACTGAGAACTATAGCCAGTACAAAATAGCTAAGAAGGTCCTTTTTATTCTTTCCCAAACCCTGAAGGCAATAGCTATATCCTAGAAGTTCTAGAGAATACCTGAATTTATGTTTTCCTGTTATATAGTCTACAATTAATCATCAAATAATATTGATGCCAATTATGTTTAATGTATCAATGTTTAATATATCAAAAGTATCTTTCATCTTTCTTGTAATCTCAGCATAGGCAAGTTTCTGTGTGTGCGGGAAGAAATAAGGCCATCTATTTTTACTATCATGTATGTAGTAACCACTACAGCAGATGTTGAAAACGGCATTTAAGCATTTATAAGAAAAAAGGGCTTTTCTGCCACTCTAGCTATTCAGCTGTAATAATGAATAAGTGGTGTGCTAACTGTGGAAAAATTATGCTCGACTTTGGTTTCATAACCTCTCTTCTACTCCAGGATCAAGCCTTTGGTGATTCCACAGTTCACTTGAAAGTACTCAGCTTGAGGACATGGAGCTTGCCTTTCTGGAAATCTTGATACTCAACTGAAACTCCAGCTGGGTGTTTTCTAGTTGCGTTAACCAAATCGGTTCTTACATGACTCCCTTGACTTAGTCAAGTTAGCTTCTGACTGCCAAGTGAGAATAATGAGACATGGAGCATTATAAGGTCATTGACCCATTTCTCAGATGAAAACTGAATAAATACAATTAATTCTGAATAGCCTGTCTTAACTTTGAAACTCTGATGAAAAGGATTAATATATTTTTTCTTGATACCAGGCATACTTTCTGGTGTTAAATATTTCTGTCTCAATGTGATGAATTTACCATTTATACTCTACATTAGGCACTTAAATGTTAAGAATTTATTGGAAAAGTTTTCATATTATATTACTAATGTTAAGATTTGTATTCAGTAAATATAAAATTAGATAATGGAGTTTGGGGCTTTTGGATCTTAAAAGGGTGAAACTATATACTGAAGCTATCAATGTAGAAATATGAATCTTAGCCATAGTAGTATTATTTTGTTCTTAGGGAAATTGTTCCAATTTTAGTGTATGTGCTGCCGAAGAGAGCACCTTAGGGAAATTGTTAACGTAATCTTTTTTGAATCCACAATTCTGTC